TGTGTGTGTGTGTGTGTGTGTGTGTGTGTGTGTGTATTAGGCCCAATTCACACCTGTACATTTAGGTGCGATTAGGGATTCCTGCGTCAGCAACTTGTGTTTTCGTGCAGCAGGAATCCCTAATGCGGCGTTTACATGTGGCAGCTGTCACCCATACAAGCTAATGATCAGGTGACAGACGCTGCATGTAAACGCCTATATAATTGGTTACTGAACTATTAATGGATTCCATCCCAAAAAAAACGTGGTTGAGGGTAGACCCCGGAACTATTCTGGTGCTCTATTTTTCATGTGCTCCAGCCAGGCATCCCATCGGTAGTGAAATTTAGATTTTTGATTCGCTCTATATGCCATAATGTTTTCGTGCGTGCAGTAGGTTTGCACCCGATAAATTGTTTCCTGCAAAGATGGAACCATAGTCGTTTTCCATGAACTAGCGATGAGGTGTCTGGCTGCAAATAGGACATACTCAGCGATAGTTTTTAGGGAACAAATGTATGTCGATGTTCAATAAGACTAATAGTGGCAATGGTTTAGTAATTATGCCAGTTATAGTAGCCAGCCAAAATCTCATTCCAAAAACTACGTAGATTGGTACATGACCAGAAGATATGGAATAAGCTCCCTATTTGACCACAGTTCCTCCAGCAGAGTCCAGTTTTAGAAGGTAACATTATGGATAGGCGGTATGGAGTAAGATACCATCTGGTTAAGATTTTATAGGATATTTCCCAATTTGTGATACATTTAGACTATAGAGCAGTGATGGCTAGCGTTTTTGAGCCCAAGTGCCCAAACTGCAAAGCAAAATCAATTTATTTATCTCAAAGTGCCAACACGGAAAAAAATATGGTATTGTGTTTTAGTTTGGGCACTGGGGTTTAAAATACATTCAGCATCACTGCCTTAGGCAAAATAGGGAAACACACTTACTCAAACATTGAATAGTTTTATTTATTATTTTTTACCTTTTTGTCACTTTGTTTTTATTTTACGTATTATTTTTTGTTTATTTTTTACTTTTTATAAAAAAAATAGCCCAAAGAAAGAAGCCACACACTGAAGTCTATTATGTCCCCATGATTAAGCCCTTAATGGGTGAAATGCATTAGAGTGGATGCCCCCTAGATGGATAGTCTCAGCGGATTGGATGCTCTTTGCCGTGTGGATTCAATATGTTTTTGTTGTCGGTGGACTCCGGTGTGCTGCATTTCTCTTTGGGCTATTGTGCTGGAGGGTGAACGGCTCCTAGTCTGCATCTATACATGCCTTGGCGCTGGAGGCTTGATTATGGACGGAGCAGTGAAGCTTCTCTGTTTGTGGATACAATCTCATCATTGTCTTTAAATTGAGAATATCACTTTTCATTGTTACATTAATTTAAGAGACACGTAGAAACAAAAAATAACAAGGGAAGTGAGATAAGAAAATCACACTTTGTTGTTCATTGTTTATTATATTTTCTGCTTAAACTTCCTGTGTGTTTCAAAGGTGGTACTTAATTTTGTCTGTGAAGCCGACTACAAAATTGTGGCAAAGGCTATTCGAGACCGTGTGTTGGCAATAAAAAGGAAACGAGAAAAGCTGAGACGTGCCCAAGAGGAGCTAAAGAGAAAAGCGGATGAGAAGCAACAAAATCTCTTTAAACTACTTGAGCAGCTGAGAGATCCTCAGAGCACCACTGCTTCTCCCACTCCTGATGCCACCCCTGGAGCTACCTCTCTACCATCAAACTCAGACTCTGCTGAATCTTTAAGCAGTGGCACATTTCTGCCTGAACCAGAGGAACCAGAAGCTGATCAGCATCGTGTGTTTAACTTTAGACAAACATGTTACTCATCTGCTACATGTAAGTAGTTATGTTCTCCCTATCTACATCAACCTTTCAACATGACCATCATATTAGTAAATTAGTATAGAACAACTGCCTTATAATGGTTTATAAGGAGTTTCATCAAACTAGTTATACAATTTTGTCAAACAGTTTATTTCCTGTACAGTGTTTAACCACTTCCTGGCTGGAGCCCCAAACAATGATATATTTTCTGAAAGCAGAGGCCCTGCAGAATAAAAAAAATGCTAGTTGCATTTTTTTGTCGTACAGTATTTGCGCAAATGTTTTTTGAACCAGTATTTTTAGGATACCAAACACTAAAGTGAAATGTAGTGCACAGAAACAAAATTTAATAGCCAATTTTTTGGTAATATAAAAAGGCGGGGTCACACCAGGTAAATAGACACCAAACATGTCAAGCCTTAAAATTGAGTGCGTCCGTGAAACTGCAAAAAACTACAATACCCAAATATTCCCATAGGCAACGTTTAAAAGCTTTTACTGCTCATCAGTTTAGTGTTACTAGTAGTTGAGGGCCCTAGAATTAATGCTCTCACTACGACGTTCGCGACAATATGTAACATGTGTGGCTTAATTTTCAATTTTGTACGTAGACACACCCGGCGCATGTTTGCATTATATGTGCGTGCACGTGGGAGGCAGGGGGCTATTTTTGCATTTCATTTTTTTTTACACTGAACTTTATTGCTGTCACATAGGGGGCTAAGGAGCACCCTATGTAATAGCAAATATAATGTAACAGGTCCTCTTTATGGAGACATCAGGGGTTTTTCTAATGTCACCTAGGGACACCAAAGAAGTTGATGAAGCAGAGATCTGCTTCCCCAGTTTCTTCTCCTGGCTCTAAGAGCCGGAGAACGTACACAGTGACGCCGGAAGTGATGTAATACACATCACTTTCGGGTCCAGTGATGGGAGAAGAGATCAGCGGCTGGAAGCCTGCTGATCTCCCTCCGATCACTCAGGGAAGACCCGCCGTGCCGTTCCCGGGCCCACCGGGGGGACAGTGGAGGCGGGGGGACACAACGCTGCACCGTACAATCGATCCGACTGTTGTACAGCTAAACACTACACTTTTAAAACATTTTTTTTTTTACACCTAACTTTATTGCTATCCGACAGCCAGCCGTCGGATTGCTTGTATTTAAACAGCAATCGCCTGCTGTTTAAAATTATGCCAAGAACATGGTTGCAGCAGCAGCCGTGTTCTTGGTATAACTGCTTCAGAACAGGATGTTTTTTTAACAATGGGCGGTCCTGAAGTTGTTAAAGAAGGGTAGGATTCAAAACCCATCAAGCTTTTAAAACTTTTTAACATTGTCTTCTAGCGGACTGTGAGACAGATGAGTACTTTAGTTCTTCTGGTTTGATGGATCCAGTGGACATTTCTCTGAAGCATACAAGTGATGCCTCTCTAGAGGATCTTTATAGCCCCCCGAGCACCCAGCCGGAGATATGTTTCCCTGGGGTAAGTTTAAATAAAACCAAAGGAACTGTAATTGCCTTCTACATACAACTCTTCATTGTGTCATAAAAAAACCTTTTTTTAAGATAAAATATAATGTATTTTCAGTGAGTACATATTTTGAGTTATTATTGTAATGTTTACCTTGACTTTCTTACTTTTATAGATTTACGATTTGCCATATGTTCATTACTTTATTAATTATACAGTTTGGCATAGTATTCACTGTGGGGAGATCTGTATTTTATTATAATCACTTCCCGATTAGTAGTTATTGAGATTAAAATCTCAGCTACATAGTATATTGATTTTGATCAGTCAGATCTTTTTTTGTACAATTAAATTGAGAGAGATGAATACTAATGGGGGCAATAAACAACCTGAACTCCCCCTATTCTATTGTTTGTCATGACACTCGACTGCAGATTGAGTCATTCTAATTTTTTTAATTGCTAATTATCATGCACAAAGATTTTCTAATTTAGAAATTACCTAGGCAACATGACTGATTCATGTTTAGCATGCAGATTTTGCACCTTCAAACAACAAAGTCTGCTGTTAGTAGGATCACAGTAGCTACTGAGTTTTTCCCCAGGATATAGACAGCAGTTTTACAGATTTAGGAGCTGACACACCATAGTTCTCAGCTCAGTGGCACTAAAGCACAATGTACACACAGTTCACAACAAGAAAACTTGCTTTTCAGCATGGATCAGCAGTTTTACTTTTACTTTTTGCATACCTCCACCAAGTTTAGGGGGTCAGCTAGCTTCAAACGTAGAAATCACAGAGATGTAGTCCAGATGCCAAAGTGTTTTTCAGGGCTTCCTGCCCATGACTATTCCTCAATGTGGTATCAAGTCAAAGCAGATTCCCTCACTGGGGTCTGTGATAGCACAATCCAGTTTCCAACAGAACATTAAATCTCCTGGCTAGTTATGAGACATTACATTAGTTATGAGACTGCAAAGCCCACCTAAGAGTCTGCACAGCCCAGCTGTGAGTCTGCACAGACCACCATATAACCTACACATTGTACCTGAGAGTCCGCACAGCCCACCATAGACCCCGCATAGCCCATCTGAGAGTCCGCAAAGCCACCATAGAGCCTGCACAGCCCACCTGAGAGTCTGCACAGCTCGCCATAGAACCTGCACAGCCAGCTGAGACCCCACACAGACAGCTGAGATCCTTCGCTGGAGACATCAGGCCGGCACACCGGAGACGCACAGAGTATGTAGGTTCATATTATTTTGTATTGATGTAAAATAGATTCCTGGGATTTGTAGTCCTCTATAGATGGTGGTATTCTGCATTGTTGTTTAATGTATTGGTGAGATTTTTAGTCCCTCTACAGGTTGGAGTCAGTGGCAGAACTACCAGGGGTGCAGCGTTGGCAGCTGGGACCAGGCCCTGTCACCTCACCACTGTCCTAAAATCATTAGTCTTTATTGTTTTAGAAAAACTGTCAGAAAAACACTACAAAAAATTATCGGTAATTGGTATTGGCAAGTACTTGAGGAACTGTATTGGTAGAGCTCCGGCCAAAAGAAACTGAGCACCAGCACAGCCAGCATCAGCTATGCGGTCTGCATCTGACAGAGATGCAAACCGTGTAGCTGCTCCCTCCCGCAAGTCAGGTACGTGGTCCTTGACCGTGTGCCTGACTTGTCAGCTTTGAGACCCGTGCTCTACAGGCTATAAAAGTATTCTGATGTTCTAGGACTCCAACTTTCCATACCAACATTTATCACCAGATATTAAGTTCAATATGAGAAGCAGCAGAAAGGAAACAGTACATAGACACCACAAATAGCATGATTTTGTTTTCTTTAAAGTGACACTAAACTCAGGATTTAAATCTTAAAAATGCATTTAAGTACCTGAACTATTAACAAAACTGTACTTTATTTTTGCATCACTCAGCTTTAGATCTTTAAATCATCTCTGAATGTAGGGAAAAAACACAAACAAGGGGCGCCTTTCCTGGTGCAGACAAATTTATTAAGATCAGGATTGAAGGTAAATATAAAACATACTCACAAAATTCATGATTGAAGTATAAAAAGTATAAAAATTAAGTCCATGGACCCAAGGAAAAGTCTTCATCATCTGATGAAGGGGGCGTGACCCCGGAAACGTGTCATCACACATCACACAGTCTCCTCTGCTGACACATAGACACGGCTGTGCAGCTTTCATAGACTTTTCCTTGGGTCCATGGACTTAATTTTTATACTTTTTATACTTCAATCATGAATTTTGTGAGTATGTTTTATATTTACCTTCAATCCTGATCTTAATAAATTTGTCTGCACCAGGAAAGGCGCCCCTTGTTTGTGTTTTTTCCCTAGATTTTACAGTCTCCCTGGCTGATTTGGGGTAGCATCCTACAGACATTTTTTATAAACGTGTTTTTTATTCATTCACCAATTTTTATTTAATCTATCAATTTTTAAACAGACTTTGATTCTGACTATATTCATGTGTACATTGGTTTGTACTGGTTGAGCAGTCCTCTCTGGCGCTTTTTTGTGTTTTTTTCTGTCTCATCTCTGAATGTAGGCTGACACTGTCCTTCCTTCTGGAGGGTGACTACTTTTGTTCCTCATGGTCCCTGTGTGTTGTAAAGTAGACACTCTCCAAGCTCGCTCCTGTGATGGACTACTATCTCATGTTTAGTTTACTAATTTGTATTGAAATTACAGTCCATCATGGGAGCAAGCTTGGAGCGCTGGCTACGTTACAGGACACACAGGAACCATGGGGAACAAAAGTAGCCACCTTCCAGAAAGAAGGGCAGAGTCAACACAAATTCAGAGAAGATATGAGGATCTATATCCAAGTGATGCACAAATAAGGTACAGTATTGTTAATAGTTAGTGTACTTGCATGCATTTTAAAATGTCACTTTAACTGATCAAAATAATTACATTTTTGATTATATATTTGTATATTTTTCACTTGATTACAAAGCATTCTGCACTATTTGTCCCTTTTATATATTATCTATGAGCATTGTGCCCATTATGAAGCCAGTCCAATGTGAATATTATTATTATTATTATACAGCGCTTTACAAAATGGGGGAGACAGTATAGTTACAATACAAGTTACAATTTCAATAAATTAGGGTTAGGAGGGTTCATAGAGAATTAAGCACTAACAAGTAGATTGCAAGCCCTCATGGGCAGGGCCCTCCTTACCATCTTGTCTTGAATTGTATTGTGATTGTAATGTCTTCCTTATATTGTAAAGTGCTGCGCAAACTGCTCGTGCTATATAAATCCTGTATAATAATAATAGTAATAATATATGTTTCACAACAAACCAAATATTTATATGATTTTATGTTAAATGCAGTAAGAGGAATGGCCAGTAATTCAGTCTATGTGGTCTTGTCTCTTAAGAGCATTGCCATCAGTGTGAACTCAGACTGCTTAGTTCCACTTGGAATTCCCAGTGACATCACCTCTCCTGTGGACAGGTGAGGCAAAACAACAAAAGCTGTGATAGATTGTCTATTTTAAATGTGATATTTCTATCATCTCATTGAAATATCATGCTCCTTTCTCATCCTTCCAGTTATGCATCAGAGGCCTCAGGGCTGAGTGATGGCTGTGAAAGCCTATCAGCAGGAGAACATAGTGCTAAATCGCCTGTGAAGAAGACACCTGGAAAACTTCTGCGACGCAAAGCAAGATCCAGGCTGCGTATTATCAACGTAAGTTCTTACCTAATTGGGTTTACTTTTACAAACAGGATGATAAGAAGTGCATTGTGTACATTATTAGTGGAAGGCACAGCCCCGAATTTCTGCAGTGCTCCTGTCAAATTCCTTAGCACCCCCAGGTAAGGCCAGAAGTCCCTTGCTACAAGTGACAGTCATTTGCTCGGTTGATGTGTGGGAGAGAGGCATGCATACCTAATTTTAATTAGTTAGAATGCGTTTCCAATTATACTGCTATGTGAACGATCTAAATTTCAGTATTCCACCACCCTAGAAACAAATGGATTGAGTTGTACTTCTTGTGCAGCCAAGATGCACCAATACCAGTTTTTCAGTATTGAGTATGAGTATCGATATTTTTTTTTCGGTACTCGCTGATACCGAATACAGATACCAGAAGTCCCATTAAGGAAGCCTGGGAGGCAGGTCGTTACACGCTGCCTGGCATCCTAATTAGCCAGGAAACGGTCTCCATGCTCCCTCTTCACCAGGTGATGAGGAAGCATGGAGCTGACTTTCTGGCCAATGATGAAGCCGCAGGGTGGGTAATGACAGCGCCAGCTTTACGGTGAGAATTGCAGCCAGAGCTGCTTTTGAAAAACATTGGCTAGAGTTGGGCTTTGCAAGACAACTTCATCGTTAATGGATTATATCCACTAGATAGAGCACCAGGTGACATGGAGCCAGCTTCCTGACCAATCATTAAGCCGTGTGGGGAATCATTACACATCGCCGGATTCCAGATTGGCCGAGAAGCCGGCTCCATGCTCCCTCGTTACCTAGTGACAAAGAAGCATGGAGTCGGTTTCCCGGCCAATCAGGAAGCCAGTTCCATGGTCTCTGGTGACAAGAAAACATGGAGCCAGCTTCCTGGCCAATCAGGAAGCCAGGCAGGGTGCAATGACTCGCTGTCCAGCTTCATGATACTGGAAGATCCGTCCCGGCTGTGGCGCTCCTCTCAGTATATCACGGGCAATAGTCCGCTATATACTGAGCTCTGGGTCACGAGAGGGGTTAGTATATGTCCTCCCGTGACCCTAAAGAGAACTATGTGGAAAAACGCTTACCTTATAGTTCTCTTTTAAGAAGTGGGCCTTGACACCACTCAAACTCTGTTTTTAGTCTTCTGGCTTGAGTGATGCTGGGTGTCAATAACCCTGGAAGACTGAGGACATCTTTTGGTGAAGAAGGGGTACTGGATGGGGACAGCGCCAGCTTTAAGAAAACATTGGCTAGAGTTGGGCCTTGCTTTAAAAAACATTGGCTAGAGTTGAGCCTTGAGGACAACTTCATCGTTAGTGGATTATGTACCTTAGATGGAGCATAGGAAATAAGTACTTGTATTACTTTCCTATGCTCATCAGCTCCATCTAGTGGCCAAAATGTAGTATTACATCACAATAGATTGGATCCAAAAAGAAAATATATTAAGAACATAGGTTTTTGCCATTATTCGCACAATACAAATATTCACAGATATTTGCAGAGCGAAGGGCCCTGCGAATTATTTATAAATAGACCCCTTAATATCTAAACAGAATTCTCCAATTTCTTCTGAAAAAACCCTTTATGCAAACAGGATTCTCTTTTGATATACACTGAGTGGCCAGATTATTATGACCACCCCATCAGTACTTCGTTGGGCCACGAGATGACTCCACGAGATGACTTTGTTGGGCCGCCTCGTGACTCCACGAGATGTTGAAAGGTGATGCAAGGAATCTGACACTGCACTGTTGCCCTTCTGTCGTCTTGTACGAGTCTTGCCACTCTCCGTTCTGCCCTAAAATTGACTAGTCACTGACGGCCACAATTCGCTTGTTCAGACCCAGATTTTCGGATCTGACAGTCCAGTCTTTAAACACTTTAACAACAGCTGCTCTTGAACATTTAACTAATTCTGCTGTTTTGCTGATACTCGCTCCATGGCTCAGAGCGCCAACAATCATCCCACGTTCAAAGGCTGTTCAATCGCGTTGTTTACCCATATCTTCAGAAAAAAAATCACTTCTACTTTCGTGGTAAACAACCTGCTTCCCTATTTATAATGGTCTGGCCCTCTAGCAACGTCAGCGCAAAATTAGAGCTAATTATAGCTGGTCATAATAATAGCTGGTCATAATAATCTGGCCACTCAGTGTATATCAAATAAAACAAGTCAAAATGTTTGTCATTAGCTGCTGTGGAATGCTTGCATAACCTATCTACAGTAACCACATTGTATATTCCTGTATAAAAGCATGAACTTTAATTTATGAAACCATTAAACATATAACCCTTGTTAATTATTTTTGTAAAACTTTTTTTCAACTCTCAATCTCGATTTTTCATCTATTGAGGCCCGGTGCAGACCTCCGCGATCCAGGATCAAGCGCCCCGGGATTGCGCGTTCCTGCATAATGCAGGCAGCAATTACCGCGCGGCCCTATTGATCTCAATGGGGAGACATCTGTGCGGCAATCGCAGAAAAATGTACATGTACCTTTTTTTTGCGCTACACGACATGCAGCTGTTTTAGTGTTTGGAAGCACAGGTGGAATCACGGCGGGAAACAGCGCGATCCGCCCGGCGCGACTGGGGTGCCGTTAGCAACTAATGGCACCCACCGTGCGATCGGTTTACACCTTGGCGATTCCTGACCGCGTGGAATTGCGCACCATTACCGTGCGGTTAGGTGTGCACCGACCCTCATAGTGACATTTAGAAATAATGTGTCTATGCCTCTTTTTAACATTTGCTGGGCAAATGTATTAAAGTTCTTTTTTAAACAACTCAGTTGTAATTATTTTGCAACATTATGATAGTTTAGTTTGCATTGCACAGATTTTGCAGTTCAGCTTGTTCTTTGGTTTCATGTATGTCCTCTCTTTATATGTCTCACAAACATGTTGTATTATGCAAAAACTGCGCTTGTCTGTGTCAGTGCCTGCAGCTAAGGAGGTTGGTGGTAGTGAGGGCTGTATTTTAATAAGCATTGCATCTCCACACATTTATTTAACTGCTGTAAAATTCTAACCCAGGGATAATATGCAACAGCTATCAAGGTCTTGTCATTTAGGAATGCTCTGTTTGCCCGTACATTTTGTTATTATGTATAATGTCTCTATTGCCCCTTGCTGCTATGCTACCATTCATACATAACCTCCACTATTTTGAATTTTGCTGGATTTATCTGCAACCTATAAATACATTTGTTTACTTGCCTTCACTGATCCTTCTATTATAATGTGTGCTTTTCTGTGAAACATTCCCGCTGGAAGTTCAGATGCTGATGGCTCTGCATCTTATTATGGCTTTGTTTGTTCAGGTGGCTCCTTTTAACACAGGAATATACTACATAGGCGCTATAGGTCATGTAAGCATCCCAGACTCCAGAGAGGGTAAAGATAAATATTTCCATTTGCTCTGTTTGTTATGCATATAGACATTAGGAAATATAGCAAATTCGTTATACACTTTTGGGGACACTTGTGCAACTCGTAAATAGTTCCTTCCTTCTCCACTGCTAGAAAATAGAAAACCAAATGGAGCATCCATCTTACTGCAGTATAACCAAAGAAATGATTTTGTCTTGTGTGACTTTGTACAATATTTTACAATACTTTGAAAAATAGTTCAATTTCAGTATTTTAATAATATGCAAAGGTTCAGGTGTAATGGTTTACTTCACTTTTCAGTTCTCATTGTTCCAAATACTTTACTAACAACAATTCTCCTCCTCGGCTGTTAATTGCATATGTAACACTAGAGAAATCTAACACATGTAACAATGTAAATTGTGCTGCCTATTAGAAATTGTTTTGAAAGTAAAAACCTGAAAATATACGATACTTTCCATGTATTAATAATGATTGTTTCACCCTTTGTTTTGTGCAGATCTCAGATAAGAGTGATCGAGTTGTAGAGTGCCAGCTGCAGACCTACAATGGTAAAATGGTCACATTCAGGTTCGATTTAGATGGAGACAATCCAGAAGATATTGCAGCAGTTATGGTAAGTTGTGTATTGTGAATGAGGCATCTGAAAGTGTTCTGGCTCTTACTCAGTAATGTCATGCAAGCATGGTCACTGGCTTATTCAGTAAGGCAATTCAGGCAAAAGTTCAATAACTCAAAGCAATCCATCAGAATTCACCTTCTTCAGGTCAGCGTCGGTAACACAGAAACCTGGTTGGTTGCTATGAGTTCTTGAACATCACCTTTGCATCTTTGCACTTTCTTATTGAATAAGCTTGCAAGTGTGTCATGTTGTGGTAACTCTGTATACTATGGTGTACAGTATAGACCTTCAATAGCAGAGATTTAGAGTAGTTGCTATCTCTCTGCCACTTACAGGAGAGCCCGACAGTACAATTGACAGGCCTGCAGTATATAGTCAGCCATGTCACCATTACACTTATCAAGGAGGAAGGGCAGATTTTCCTCCATCATTTAAGTTTCTGGCTTACACAATAAATCAGTGGTATGTTAAAGAGATCAGCATAAATATTTCTATATATGTACTAAAACAAAAACGTATTTCCATGTCCAAATTGGAACTATGTATGCTCATAGAATTAGCCTTATGTGCTCATTCTAAATGCAGGGGCTGCATTTTGCTTAGTAGTGCTGCACAATGCTATGCTTTGATGATCTCTGTGAACATTTATGGGGTTTTTCACTAAACAGCCGAAGGATCCAGCTGTAGCTTTGGCTGATCCAGCGGCTCTCTTCGGCCGCTGGAGCCCTTCGGCTCAGTTGAACCGAAGGGCTGCTGTACGGGTTATTCACAATAGCCCATACAGCAGCCGAAGGCGGCAGAGTGGCTCAGCAGAGCCGAAGGCATATGCAAAGCAGTTAAATTAATGGGGGGG